TGCATTAAGACACAAAGTTTTATAGCCATAAGTTATTGAATTAAATATTGTTCTCAAACTGATCTGAGAAAGAGTTACCCTCCTTGTACAAGTCAGGAATTGTCCTTCTGTAGTTACAGAAGTTCAAACTCAATAAAAATATCATTTGATGTCTAGAGCTATAAATCTATGATTAAGTTTTCCAGCTAATCTAAGTGTCTAATTCTGAATTTTTTGCCTTTCAGTGTAGCCACAATGTATATTATTTTAAAAGTTCTTCATCTGCAATTGAGGATCTAAGCAATTGATGTTAGGTTCCAGACCTTCATATTCTGCTCTGAATTTTTTGGGGGTTTATTATATTTTAAATTTATTTTAAGAGTTCTTAATAACACTTTTATATGAATACTGTTTCATACTTCAGCAATCTCAAGACAGAGTCAGAAATTTAAGCACTGTCTTTAAACATGCAAAGTACATTTTCAAAGGGTTTTCGGAGAGTTCATCTATATACTTGGCAAAAGTTGCTAAGTTGTTGAATATTACAGAGTGACTCTCTGAAAAAGCTTTGCACAAATCATTTTAGCAACTGTGACACGTAAAACTTTGGAAGCATGGAAACTTCAAAGACTGTTATATTGTGATAGACACCACTGACATAAGGAACGTGTAATTCAGGAAGACCTGTGTTAGTAGGAGAAGCATTATGCACTTTTGAAAACTTGACTCCATGTAAATAATGCAAGTAACCTTGAGAAAATGCATTGGGCTATGTACATGCTAAGTTCACACCCTTGATTGTTTTGCCTCAAGAAATGAACCAAATAAAAGTTTAAACAAAGGACTAAAGAAACTGCCTTGAGGGACAGATTGATAGACTACATTGAAGAACTGCTGATTCTTTGTCTAGATCTGCAAATTCTTTGTGCGGTTGATATATAACACTCTAGTAGCTATGAGGGGTGGAAGATGAGTATTATTTTGCTACATATGCTTTGTAATATGTTTTTCAATTACCCACACCATCATATAGTCATTGTGTAGCCTGACTTTACTTGTTCACTCTGTGTCGAATACAACTGGTTCTTTAAATTTAACAAAAATAGGGTGACAAGTATAACACCAAGGACAAAGCTGGTAGGGTTGAGGAAAATGAACTTCACAGTTGTCATTGGCTCAAATTCCTAGCTGGAGGCCTGAGTAGGATACCTTGGAGAAGGTTTATTCACATATTGTCACATAGTCTCCTCCTCTTCTCTAAAATAAAGATCTTGGCTGGATATTTAATATAACAATAATTCTGATTTAATATGTCACTACATTTTGGTTAACCCCTAGCATAATATGATAAAATTATGTTATCTGATTTGTGACCAGATGAATATTTTCACCAGCTCAGGTAAGAAACACAACTGGAACTGCTCTGTGTCAGGTAAGTCGTCTCTGTCCTTTCCTTTATGGAGGAAGAGGTCTCAAGCAAGAGCTATTCTGGGTAAGAATGCTAAACTCACATGAGAAATAGCTCATTTTGTTTCCAGAGTAGAAGAGTCTATAGAAATTTACCAGTAGTTAACCTAATGACATCCCACGCTGAATATCTTTAATTGTCATTAACAGAGCATGAACATTTGAAAGCAATGTAACGTTATCGTAGTTACATTATAGTATTCTGTGTCTATATGTGATGTGAAAGTGAGATTTAAGTTCTACTAAATAGGGATCTTTTTTTTTTAAATCTACGTCTTGCTTCCATAATTTCAAAATTTTACAATACTTAAAATGTTCTGTTCCTGTATCTCTTAGTTAAAAAAATTAAATAATTAAGGTGTCAGACCTTGCTCTTCCATATATGTGAATATCTTAATCATGAAGTGTTTCTCTTTTTGCTCAATTAGCTTTGAAGTATTTTATGTGCAGTTTGAGAAAGAATGCTTTGCCCATAAATTTCTATTCTAGAACCGGTTAGCTACTGTCCTTTTTTAAAAGGGAGGCACATGTTTTGATATGCCTTAGATTGGGATGGGGCTCTAAAGTCACTGCTGTAGTATAAAGTTTTGGTTTAGTATAAAACAGGAGATATAAAGGTTTAAAGCAGTTCATTCTCACTCTTGCTGCTTCCATGTTTTATAAATGGTTAGAAAGGGACAGTCTTTAGAAGATAAACATGGTGTCTAGTTCTAGGAGGAAGCAATGAGGGAAAGAGATGCACAGCAGTGAATGAGCATTAATTCTGTCCTCAGGACTAGATACTCCTCTATTCATCACTTTTTTTTTCAATACATCCACCAGTTAGTGTCCTAGGTGTGGTGAATTTTCTTAGATACTTGACACTTTTACCTTATTGACAGAGAGTTTTGAACCAAGCTCTTGGCTGCAAGATACAGTCTGGGATTGCGGGACAGTAAAGTTTAGTGTCATAAGCACCAACTCTATTTTACAAGATACAAATTGTTAAATTAAACACTGCCAGGAAATTTGCCAGAGGACTAACACAATCTCTTTCTTTTGCTTATTTTTCTTAAACCATTTCTGGTTGTGCCTCAAGAGCTGTCATAGAGACCATTCCCAACAGATCGCTTAACAACATGGATGACAGCCATTCTATGCCAGATGACACCAGCATTGGATAATAATCCTTAGCACGGTCAGTTTAGCATTATAGACATGGAGACAGTGATTTGAGCCCTAGCAATTTATACAGTTTAATACAAAAGGGAAAATGAGGAGAGCAATATTACTGGAATGGCTAAAATCAAAATAGTGCAGCTGGTGTGGATGAAACTGATTCAAGATACTTCCGTCCTGTGTGAAAGGAATCAAAAAGTTTTGCCATAAGAGGGTTCTCTTTTTCTTTTTTAATTGTATGTATGCTACCTTAATGAATCAGTCTGTTAATAAACAGTCTGTTAATAAACAGCAAATGACCAGTGTTAAAACAAATCCTCTTCAACATTAAAATGGATAAAAGTATCACCAGTGCAGACAGAATAAAACACTGGTAGTCATCTGAACTCTGCAGGGGAGGTACATGAGGATGAAATATATATACATCCACCAAAGACCATTAGGATGAACAATTTCAATCATACACTGAGAAAATTAAAGAAACTTTGGACCTTCACTGGATTTACTATCTCAAAAAGTATAAGGAATAAGAATAAAATAAATAATTTTTTAATATTTCAGTGAGTATGTTAAAATGAGACATTCTAGCATAGTTTAGGACCTTACTATACAATATTTTTGTCAAGTCTATCAGTATTTTGGTTATTATAGAATAATAATGCAATGAAAATGTGAACTGCTTAACCTGCCTCCTAGGAATTGTAATAATAATGGAGGTAGTCATATCTCTACTTTTACATTCACAGCTGTTAGTATCACAGTTGGAATCAGTCCTCCTTCAAATTAAATTAGTAATAGGCAGTTTGTAATGAATGTAACATTTAGCAGGTACACTTGAGTTCTAATGAATATTCCAAGGCAGATCTCAGTAGTGTCTGTGATAATAAGGATCTAATATGGATGAATTTCAACTTTTATTCTAATCAAACTCTTTCAGCTATTGCTTCATTATCATGCAAAAACCTTCCAGGTGATATTTCCCATATTTGATCTCAATCCATCGTGATTTAAGAGGGCAATAAAAATCAGTGCAAATGTTGCTGAGAGTTTTGGGTGCATGGAAGAAATGAAAAAAAATAAAAAAGATGTGTTTTTTAACAAATATTTTTGACAAATGCTACCAAATTGTTACCTCTACTCATAAGATTCCTGAGAAATGGTTAGATAAATGGATATGGTTCTAATTGCAGACCTTCCCAAGGAAACATGTCGATGTATCCTGAAACGGAAAGTTGATTTTAACCATATTTTGCTTTTATACTACATTATAGGTATTTCTTAATGGCTTTTTAGAAAATAGGTAAAATCCCTAAAATAAATATCCCCTTCTTTGTAATCAAAACTACATATATTCAGCAATTATTTAATTTTTACACATCTTACTACAATTCTTATGTTACTGAAGACAAGCTCAGAAAACTAGGAAATTCAGTTGAAAAGAAAGAAAAAAATTGAAAAAAAAAAATCAGCATAATATTTTTTGCCAAAACTGAAAATTAAGACCACAAACTATGTTTTAAAAATAAATTAATAGTTATGCAGAACTGGTCTCTTCTCATGATCTAAGAGCTATTGACCACAGCTTCAAACAATTAAATACTTCAGGAAGTAATTTGATAAGAAGGTAATAGCCTTTCACACACTCCTGGTAGTCTAGCCACAAAAATTCTATAGGGAAAATAACACTATGAAGGCTTCTTAACCATTACTTATGAGATGCCCTGTTTTGGAACTAGTCTTAATTTGCACTGATTCTTAAAGGAAACATTCCTATATGTTTCTCAAAAATTTACCTTTTCCTACTTCTTTTTAGGCAAGGTGCATTAAAAGCCTTGTAATAGTTTGTGAAAAATATACTCTTTTACAAAACTTAATAAACGATTGATGGGATAAACTGCAGAATCATGATGAATTAATTATATTTTACCTTTCTGATTTGCTGAAAAACTTTATTATCTCTACAGCATATTGAAATACTGACTAATTTCGGTATTAAATCTCTCAAAATTTTTAAATTTCCATGTGAAAACCGCTACCTGTAAAAACTTGCTCTCATTATTAAACATGAAACTACTTTTTCTCTTCAAAAAATATTTCTTGACTCCTGAGTGGGGACAAGATTGTCTGCAGAGCCATGTGATCATATACTATTCCACCAAGAAAATAGTTACAAACACATCATCCTATATTCCTACTGTATAAACAGCATTTGTACTAGATGTATTAAAAATATTCTGTTTAATAAGTCTTTTCCCAGTGCAGATATGTAAAATTCTATTCATTAAAATGGCCAGGTGTCTTAATTTTCAGATGTTCCTACTATATACACTAATTTCCACTTTGCTAGATTTTCTCATACATAATGTATTAAACTGCTTCTTGTTGAGGGCAGATTCTTTTACATGTGGTGCAGAACTGGAGCAAGGTAGAATCCCATCTCATTGTCTGCTTGAATTTTAAGTACCTTTGAAGCAATTACAAGCACAAAATGCTTCAGAAACGTAAGAAACATTTTAAAGGACAGTCACATCTGCTGAACCTTTTTCTGAAAAACCATGACTATGCTTGGAAAGGTCAGCCTTTCTGGAAAGGCTTTCCGTAAGCCATTACATCATGCTTTCATCATAATTTCTCATTTATTTAACATCTCATCTTTTGGACATATTCAAGATGGGTAGATGGGTGGAAAAATTGGTATTCTACCAAGGAACATGGCAAGAAATTAAGCAGTACTGAGAACAGATGAAGAAAGCTAGGAAGCAAAAAGGAGAAAAATGCAACAGGAATAGTAAACAATGAAAACAATTTCACTGTGGTTCCATCGCAGGCCAGTGGCACAAACAGCAACTGGTATAAATTGTCATTCATCCGAATAGTCTAAAAAGAAAGTTCTTGCTGACCTTTAACTAATAGTGCCATAAAACTGCCCAAGAAAGATATTGTTTGATGAGTTCAATAAATGCAATACCAAATTCTGAAATATTCTGTCAGAAAAGACACTGGAGAATGGCATGCACTGAATAAAAATAAATATCCAACTGCACAGAAATCCCTCATAATACTGCATTTTACATAAGCTGTGAACACTGAAATGAGTGACTTGCAAGTATTTTCAATTTCACTCCAGATTTCATGATAGTTTTCATGCTGAAGACATTATGTTTTCTTTGAAAATAATATATTCAAAGTAGTTTGCCCAGGGTAGATTGTGCACATTACATGATATCATCATCTGATAACAAAGAAATTACACTTTTCACTTTACTTCTATCTTCCTCTTCCAAATATTTACAGTTAGCTGCTGAATTACAAAACTGAAATGACAGCCAATGTTAAATCCCCTAACATCATTATGATACTCAGTTCTGTAAGAAAGAAAACATAAATAAGAAAATAGTAATTAGGTAAGATGCTATAAAGTGACAGATCTTCTAATTCTACCTCAATCCAAAACTTCAGGGAAATTGTGTTTTCTGGTGCTGTTTAAGTAACAGTACACATCAGAATTCATCCCTGTATTCAGTCTTTCAGGTCAGGGCATAATGTTTTGCATAATGTGCCCCACAGTGACAGTCATATGACATGATATTTGGGTGCAAAGGATACAAAATTTAAAAATACAAACTTAGTAGTTAGTGTTTCACAGAACATGGAAATAACCAACGTGAGGGAGATAAATAATGACAAAGAGAGCTTTACTTTTTTCATCCTTTTCCTTTTTGGGAAAAAAAAAAAAAAAAAAAAAAAGAAAAAGATGAAGAAGCCATGATAAAAACTGCAGGAAAATAAGGTACTCTATATTTTATTCTTTTGTTATGTGTTAACATATGAGTATCAGGCTAGTAACAACAGAATTGGTTTTAAGTTAAACTTTAGTTTTAAAGCCTATTATGTGGTTCATTTTTTAAATTTAAACTTGTTAAGTAATCTTAAGGGACTCAAGTATGCATAAGCTTTCTGTACAATAAGAAATCATGACAAAATAACAAAAATACTTGAATAGGAAAAATAATCAATAAAAAGAGAAGAACTAGTCTTAGGAACAAATAGTCTTTTCTTTCAGTGGAAGGAGTTGTGAGACACTTATTATTATATTATTGGGTCAGAACCAAATCAGGAGTGTGTGTGTCTGGGGTGAAGGATCAGGTCGAATCTCACAGAAGTGGAGTCAGGCCCACATGGCAACCCCTGCAACCTCATGGGGCAGCCCTGGAGCATCTGTCAGTCAAAGGCAACCTAGAAGCACACCCACACTACACCCCCTGGAGCCTCTAACCCAGCCTTAAATTGGCTGGCACAGGGAGAGTACTGCTCCTCACTTCACCCTGAAGCCTTTGAGTGGCCAGCAGGTCAGATGTCCAGAGTACAAAAACCAGCATACATGGCCTCCGTCTTTTGCTTGAGACCTGCCACCTGGCCACGTGAACGCTGGACTTGCACAGGATTCTCCGGTGGTATCTATTTTTCTCTTATTCTCCTGTCTTCTTACTCTTTCCTCTTCTCTTTCTTTACTCCTTTTTCTTCACTTAATCTCTTTTCTTAATGTTTTGGGTAACTTAAAACTGGTGGGTTGTATTTTGCTAAGTTGTCTGGGTTGGTGTGCCCTGGGTCAGTCCTTTGTGGAATTTTGGTTGTATGTTACCTTTCAAACTTTCAACAACACCTCTTATTTTCTCCCTTATTTTTTAAAATTATCAATAAAAGTATCTCCTGAGAAAACATGTGTATCATATTTTCTTTGTGCTACTGCAAGGTATTAAAGAACCGAGTGCTCTTCATAATTCAATGGGCAAATTTTTGGAGCCTTGTGTACTTTTAAAAGTTAAACTCCCAGTTGAGCTTGTGGTTCCGGGGCTGGGGCCTTACAGGAGGTGAATGTGGTCCTTCCCAGAGATACAACCTGTGATGTGTGCTGTATTATATGAAAAACCTTTTCAGATAACTCGAAAAAAATGAATGACTAACATTGTCAAAAAAAAAAAATTGATGAATGAGTTATTTACAGTAGCAAGAATGAGAATCAGGTGCGAAAAACTGAGGGAAGATCTTAAAAGATATACAACTCAGAAGGACAGAAGTAGATGACATTAAAAATCATTAAAACAGTAAAAAAAATAAAAATCTTAACTTTATAGGATCATAGAATGGTTTTGTTTGAAGAGACCTTTAAGATTATGAAGTTCCAACCCACCACGATGGACAGGAATATCTTCCACCAGACCAGGTGGCTCAAAATCCCATCCTATCTGTCCTTGAATCAATCCACAACTTGTCTGGACAACCCGTTCCAGGGCTTCACCACACTTGCAGTAAAGAATTTCTTCCACATATATCTAATTTAAACCTACCTTCTTTCAAGTTCAAAGACATTCCCCCTTGTCTTGTTACTACATGCCCTTTTAAAATGTCCCTTTCCAGCTTTGTTATAGGCCCCTTTAAATACTGGAAGGCTGCACTAATGTCTCCCTAGAGCCTTCTCTTTGTCAGGCTGAATAACTCCAATTCTCTCAGCCTGTCTCCATAGGAGAGGTGTTCCATCCCTCTAATCATATTTTTGGCCCTCCTCTGGACTCACTCCAACAGGTTCAAGTCCTTCTGTTGGTGGTCCCAGAGCTGAACAGAGCACTCCAGATGGGGTCTCCTGAGAATGGAGTAGAAGAGTTGAATCACCACCTTTGTCATGGTTCTTTTGATGCAGCTCAAGATACATTTGGCTTTTTGGGCTCACGTACACATTGCTGGGTCATGTTGAGCTTCTTAACAATACCTGCAAGTTCTTCTCCTCAGGGTTGTTCTCAATCCATGGTCCGCACAGATTGTGTAGTGCTTGGGATTGTCCCTACCCAGTTGCAGGACCTCACACTTCACGAAGTTCACATGGGCCCATGTCTCACGCCTGTCAAGATCCGCACATAACGTGCTACCAGCGAGCCACTACCAGTTAGGATACTTGGGAGGTGTAATAGCTGTTTCCACGGAAATACCAGTTTGATACTCAATAGGTATTCATAAAGCAAATTAGATGTTAGGCTTTTGTGGCGAGTTGACCTTGAACAGCTTCTAGATGCCCACCCAGCCACTGTTTCACTCCCACTCCTTAACAAGGATGGAGGAGGATGGGGGAAGTCAACTGGAAAAACTTGTAGGTTGAAACAGTGGGAGATCACTTACTAATTATTGTCATGAGCAAAACAGACCATATACCTTTTTAAGGATAAAGGGTTGGATATGTTGTTCCATTTTTCCAGTTTTCACCTCAGCATCAGGGAAGAAATGAGGACTAAAGTTGCTTTCCTGGGGTAGTACAGAGGTGCTGAAAACAATTTGATGGTCCTGTAATTCCTCTGAGAAGTAATTAGTTGAGAAGTAAGCAGTAATGAAAGAATAATAAGTACAAATGCAAACCCTGCAAATAATCACAGATACAGTCAAATTGCAGCTTTAAAGGTTACATCATCAAGGTCTACCCTCTACTGAAACAAAGATTTTAGATTGAAATAGGTTATTTAACTAGAAACTTCTGGTTGTGCAACTATGACTACAATGCATAAAAGAGAATGCAACAAGGCCTGGGGGAGAAAATAATAATAATAATAATAATAAGATATCTCCTCGCACTAATATGTATACTTCATGCTGTTCGTCTACTGAGCTTTGATGTACTCTGTATGAGAGATCGGTAGCAGTCTGACCTTCTTCCCGACTGTAGACACATTATATTATGTTAATTCCATAACATTCCCAATCTTCTCAGTCAGTGACTAATTTGAGACTCAATCCTGAGACACCAAAATGTTCAAATGCACCTCTGATTTTCCACTTTGATCCGGAAAGAGGGTTTTTCTTTTAACCTTAATATCATAAGGTCGATGGAAAGTATCAGTTTCATTTTGATGATCCAGTCACTTTATTCATGTGACAGCCGCCACATTATTTAAACCTATCAGCTTTTCCTTTTTTTCTTACTGTGAGTGTAGATCAGTATCTTACATCATATTAGTCAAGCTCCACTTGTTATTTGTAGTTTTTGCTGGAAAAACTATTTCATGACTTAAATTCTCCTTTTTACTCATACACACATCAATGAACTCTAAAATCCAATGTCTGATACCCAGCTAATAAAGATTAATGGATTCATTTACCAGATGGTTAGAATGTTATTAAAATGCAAATGGTTGGTTTCTGTTAATTGTTCAATATCACATACAATTAATCTGGGACTTGCATACTTTCTTGTGGTTTTGGTACAGTTCACCTAAAAAGCTTGGGGGAAAAAAAGCAAAATCGGGGCTTTTTTCCCCAAATAGTTTGATGAATAATAGCACCGATAAGGTAGCAGTTGTGAGCTGGAAATGAATTGGAGAATTGTGAGGTCTAGAACCACTAGATGCAGGAATACATAAAAGACAAAAAGAATAATTATTACATAGAATTGCTAAAATAAGAATACTTTACAAAAGGAAGAGAAAAAAGTTAACAATTTCCACTTAATACCAGCTAGGTATCAAAATTTTGATTCTGAATTGGCAAAACTTAATTGAACATGTTATTCTTTTGCCTGAATCTTTTGTAGAGTCTGGCAAAGACTTTGGAAGACTAAGCCCCAGATAAGTCAGCTAAGTTGCTGCAGTCTAACATATCAGCTAAAGGCATTGACTCAGAAAAAGGGAAGAAAAGATGTGGTTCCATCAAGTTCAGCTGGACTGTTGTGGTTCCTACCCCTTCAGAGCTGATGAATTTCTACAGTTTACACAATCCGAACAATTATGTTCTGCTATCAGTTTGGGCACTGATAAACCAAACAATATCATTTTATGCATCATTCTGTACTATAAAATTGTGATTACACAGCAGATGAGATGGGCCTATAACAGAGGTGTGAGCCACTGAAGGCGGAATGAGGCAATCAGTTAGAAAACACTATTGTTATCCTAAGAAAAACCATTTCTGTATTTAAATCATATACCTAAAGTAGGCATCTGTGACATAATTTGCTCCTAAAATTTGAGAAGTTTCTAGCAAATTTCTTTACTCCTTTTAAACATGAAGAGAGCTAAGGTAATTTTGTTGCCTTTATATGTTTTTGGCTTATTGTAAAGAATGGTTTTGTGATTAAGACGCGGGAGATGAACCTGGTAACTGTGCATTTAGTTCCTAAAGCTACACTATCCTAACTGCTGACACCCAAAAGAAATGTAACATAATTACTAGAAATGGAGTTCCCAGAATTGTAGGTCATGTGTCCAGGTTTTCCAGAGGATAGTAGTCAGTGCTAGGCACCTATAAAAGGTTGTCACCACAGCCAACACACTTTGGACACTTCCACAGTCCTCTGGAAGCAATATAGCCAGTGGAAAGCCAGCTGGAGTTTTTTAATAGGATATATACTGAGGTGTTCAAATAACTTCAATTTTTTTTTTAATTTTTTTAATTCACAAGCAGAGAGATCTAAATTCTAGTCCCTAGTTCAAAGATACTTACGCATATTGAATGTGTAAATAATGCTCAGTGTGGACTCATAACCTTGAATTTGTCCTGCTGGAAATGTTACAGAGTTGTGCTCTGCCTCACAGGTTTTTTTCCAGACTAATTAACTGTCAGTTCTTTTTGGCATAGTAAAACAGCTTTCACAGAAAAGGTGACATGTTTCTTGTCCATAAAGAACCAACAGACTTCTGGACAGGGCACACCTGAATACTGTGTACCTGAATTTCTTTGTACCAAAGGAAAAGAAGATAAAGAGGCACCTTTTCATACTCCTCTAGAAAGAAAGCAACCACCACCACTTTCAAACTGTTTATTGGACTGCATTCATTTATTCACAGGGAATTAAGAAGAAAAATTCCTAGCTCCTGAATCTGGAAGCCCTCAGGATCAGGCTTAGTGTAAAGATGCTTGAAATTTCTGAGATCATAGAATTGGTCATTTTACCTAAAGCTTACATTTGGAACCTAAACTCTTTTTTAATGTGTCTCTTATTATTTTTTTCCATTACACCATTCTGACAGTATAAAAACAATATAACCATGCTGTGCCAGATTAGAAGTCCATCACTGACAAAATGGAACAAACAGAATTAAAAATGGAGCAATCGAAAAGTAGTTTTGTTCTTTACATCTGTTTGTTCTCCTGTTTGAAACCACTAAGCTTCCAGTAATCAGGTTATGAACTCTGAGTCAAAGGCAATAGTAGGCTGTCCTAGTTAGGACAGCTGAGACCAGTTCATCACTGGATGGGTGTAACCCAAAACTGTGTATTCTGTAGCCTTCCATGCTATTTCCCAGAAACTGTTATCAATGAACCATTTACACTCTCTGCACATAGAGCCTGACTCCTCAGGCTATAAACTAGGTGCTAAGAGGCCTGTGAGATAGGAATTGCTCTTGTCCTCACACCCATTAAGGAAATCCCTGCCCTGAGGGAGGTACTGAGCATTCCTGCCTGAACTGGAGAATATATGATCTTGGAGTCTTGGGACCTTTTTAGCCACTCGTGGGATCCAGAGGAGGACTGCGGGCCACTGCTCTCAACCAGACTGCAACCACCACTCTCGACTGGACTGCAGCCACCACTTTTCAACCAGACTACAATCACCACTCTTGACCAGACTGCAACAGCACTCTCACCAACACATTTTTCCCTCTCCTTTTACTTTGGACTCAGGGGGGCCAAAGAACACCACTCTGTTCATGCTCCAGGGTGCTGGGATATATATTTGGGCTTTGTGGGTTAAAACCAATTGTTTGTCTGTATAATCATATTTATTGTATTATTTTATTAAATTGTTATTCTAACTTATAATCTCTCTTTTGAGTTGAGTTCATTTCCCCTGCTGGTTTACCTTTAAACCAGCACATAGGCTTAGTGCGTCTAACAGCTATTAAGCAAGCTATGCCCTGACTGTATCTAATTCCCCCCACATGCACACACTTTTACTTCGTTTAACCTGAAGTACTTAAGGTTTCCCTTCCTTTCCTTTTGCATGGTATTGTCTAGTTCTAGTCTGGCATGGAATTAAAAGTAATCATTACTTGTTCACCTAAAATTGTATCTGTCAGATAGAGGTAGTAATGCTCCCATCATTTAAAGGATACTTACCAGTACCCATGAAGTATTTAATATGAAAGAGCCATACAGATATTTAGAAATTTTTGAAAATGTATCATGCATAACAACTTTACATGTGAATATTCCAGTGCAAAATCCCTTTAACATATATTTTTATTTAAAATACTGCCTTAGAAGATGGGAGAAAGAATAATAGATTCATAGGACAACCTTAGTTAGAAAAGTCCTCCGAAGGTTATCTTGTCAAATCTCTTACTGAAAGCAGCAAAGTAAAATAAATGTCATTTTTTATGGTTTTATCCAGTTAACTTTTGATAATTTAAAAAAACTGGAAAGTAGAATGTTAGCAAAATGGTCTTGGAATTTTTTTGTATGGAATTTGTGGATTTGAACAATGAATAAATTATTGTATCTCCATACCTTTATAAAATGGAAGAAAATGTGAGGTATGATATTTATAAATTAGAAATACTATTTTATTGGGCAGCAAAATTCTCCTGAAAACACAAATAGAACCATTCCACTTAGAGTCTGATAGTAGAATACATAAGAGTTTGCAAATTTGCTAAATAGAATTTATAATGTTACAATCAAAGTTTGCTAACATAAAATGAAGAAAGAGTATTTCCACTCTTCTATGAATATGTGCTTGCTCTATGTAAAATACATCTACGCTGCACTAGTACTGTTTCTTGTAAGATTGCAGCTGATGAGGAGTTATGTTTGTGGTTTTTTTAATTTGAAATTTCTTTGAATCAAAATCCAGATCTGCACATTGTAGTTTATCTAAAGACAACAAAATTTCAAACTTCATCACCTCTACTGAAAGATAGCAATTTATGTTTTGTCATTCTCATTTTTTAAGCTTATATTTAACATTATCTGTTATTACTATTTTTTTCATACTTTTAGTTATTTGTTTAGTTTAGACTTTTAAATATAGTAATGCAAATTCACAAGCTACTTACGGTCTTAAAAAATAGACTTTTTTCTAGAAATCATATATTATTTGTCAGGTATTTTGTATACAGACAAATCCCTCTATCTTGGCTTTCAGTGGTTTGTTCTGGTTTTTTTATTTTTATTATTATTTAATCTTTATTTCAGAGAAGAGTACATGAATGAAAAATGTGTTTCTCCTTTGCGTGCATTTCACTTCTTGAAATTGCAGACAACCGAATAAGCAGCTTCTTTCACCTGTTTAATTACCCATGACTTCTCTTTCTCTGCATAGCAGAGTCTTATCAAGAAAAGCCAATTATGAATCCCAAGTTTGACTGTCAGGCGAATATTAACAATTATGAAACAGCGCTGCATGTTGACTGTGCTTTTGTGACTTCCTAGTGGTTTCAGTATCTTTCTCCCCCTTCAAATGGTGATATTTATAAAGGTTAAATTTCTATGCGAATCTGAACAGAGTGTAAAAGAAGTTCTATAATGATTCTACTGTTTCAACTAAAGTAAATTCAACATTAAAATGACTCAGATTTAAAATGGAAATGTATTTAGTATCTTCTGCCAATTAATTCCAACACAAAGTGACAGTTTCATTATAGCCTTCACTAAGTGTTTCTGTTTGAAAACTTTTTGAAAGCAAAGCTGTGTAAATCCAGATTTAAGAGAGTTCTGCACCCCAAAATATAATCGTAGTAAAGAGTACATTTACCCTGTGTTCCTTTCTGCTTTATAGCTGTTAAACTAATTATGTGAAATGGAAACATGTCAACACAACCCACCACTTGTGTTAAATTATTCCTAAATGGTGACTGCATCTGTCTACACCTCTTTCTTATCGAATATATCCTATCTAGTAACTTTAGGTAGTTTTAATTTTAATGGCTTTGTGCTCCTCCCAGCCAGAAAAATTACTTAAACCCTCTATAATGCAGTTTCAAATTATCCTTAAACTTAAACTTATCCTTTGCACAAGAAGATACATACTTTAAAGTAGCTGATACTTCCATTAAATCTTTTTAGGTGGTGTTAAAAAGCTATGACTAACAACTAGATCACTCCTGCTTAGCCAGAAGCCCAATCTTTCATATCCCCTTCATTTAAATCATAATATCAGCAGCAGAAAGTGTGTGGTATATACTATTAATTGATTTAAGCTAATATTACTTTCCTATCGCAGCTGATCTACTGCTTAGTCAATTCTCCAACACTTCTTTTGACATTTCTTTGATCTGCCTCCTTCTCATGTGACATCAAAAAGAAAGGGAGACAAAGTGTCTCAAAGATCAAAGGAATAGGTGAACAGAAAACTGGAAGGGAATAAGACTATTTTCTCTCAAGACTTCACCACTAAGCTTTGTAAACAGAGTATGTGTGATATATGTGTGAGCCACTGAAAGAAATAACTAAATGCATGTAGAATGAACTTCTAAAGGAATTCATTTTAGCTGTCCTATTCATGTATTTTTTTTAATAAGACCAAATGTTTTAATGAACCCAATGTAGGAAAGTAGATATGTCCACAACACAAGTTACAGAAATATTTAAGGTATAAACTTATCCACAACATCTTTAGCCTAGAACTGCAGCAGTGTGATGGTTGTCGTGGCTTGGGCATGGCTGACAACTGCAGTAGCATGTGAGCTCTTGTTAACCCTACAGCACAGGGAACTCAATTCCTTACAAGAGAGGAGCTCCTACAGCATACACAACCCACCAGTTCCTGGGACAGTTGCAGAGACATGGAGAATCTTGGAGAGGCTGCAGCCTGGTCAATGTCAAGTGCCTTCAGAATATGCATGCCCCAGTGGGGAATTGAGTATTCCCTATCCAGCCCCATAGCCAATTGCATCAGTCAGCAGAGGGAGGCTCCAGGGTGTCGAAGACAGAAGAACTCAGGATAAAGCATGGGGAGAGGGTCAGAGTCCTCCACATACCCAGCATCCAGGTCCCACTGCATACTACCTGTTGGCAGCCCTGACTTCCTGACTTTCTTTCTGCCTCATGATGACTCCCTTGAGGAGCATGGAAATCATTGCCTCCAAAAACTGCATATACGTCATTCATTTTAAGTGTTTTGGTGTCTGAGTCCATTTAGTCTACTCACTGCTCTTAAATGATGACAAACATTTGATCATTGAGAAAGCTTATGCACAATGCAGTATTATGAAGAATTTCTGTGCAGGTGAATTTCTGTTACATTGAGGGTGTAATCCAACTAAATCAGATTTCTTTCCTTATCAATCATCCACCATCAACATAGTAAACTAGTCACTAATAAGCAGGAAAAAACACAGAGGAAAATGTTTTTTCTTAGAAAAGTGCAAAGAAAGGAAGGAAGGAGGGAAGGAAGTTGACTTTGCTTCAGTTTTGAATCCAGTCTTGAATCCCAGTTACACATAAAATTATATTTTTAATGTGACCACATTAAATCATTTTGTCAGATGAATCAGGTACAAGTAGAAACCTGAAGAGAGACAGAGAAAGAAAGATTTACCTTCTTCTACTGATATGGTGACCATACTATTGTTTAATAGAAAAAAAAAAAGGGTTGACTATCCTCTTAGCCATCAGCTAGACAGTAAATAACTGATCATCTGGAATCAGAAGCACTGGATTCATATTTTTAAAGTACTGACAGAGGAAGAGAAATGGGAATAAATATTGAATTATGCAAAAAAGAAAATATTATTCTTAATGTTTCTGTCCTCCTAATTTAATCATTTATTTCCAAGCACAGAAAAGAAAAAAATACACAAGTATCTCTCTCAGAGATGAAGATTCTAGAGAAAGGCATCTTTATTATATGTATATAATTAAAATTAAACTCACCAGAGTCTCATAGTGACAGCAAAGTCAAATTAAAAGAACACATGTAATGCTGATAAACAAGCTGCACTAGTCAGAGTGGTGTCAGCTAGAATTATTTTTACAATTTTATTTTAGTCCCATATGCTTGCTTCAACTATGCGTGGAAAAAAAGTTTGATTGTCAAAGTTATCCAGAGTTGCGCTCTTTGAATATATGCCACCAGGAAAAATAATGGATCATGCCTTTCCCTAGATAAGGAAAATTTGTACTGGTGTTATGTTTTTGGCACCCTATCTCAGCTTAGGAAATGAACCATTGTCTAAAACACATATAGGATTTGTTGTCATCTTCTATGTCTTTCAGAAAATATAGCAATTTAAATGGAAATCATAGCAGTTTGGTCAAACTCATATTCTTCATGCTTTCTCTGACCCTCAGCCTCTTTCTCTACATGAATTAGTGGG